AAATCAACCGCGGTTCGGCGCGTTAACACTTGTGCACGGCGGTGACTTCCCTACGACACCTGCGTTTGACTTCTCAAGCCGATATGTCGTTTTCTGGCTAGCGGTCAGCATCAGAGCGTAGGCATTTTTTACAAACTGCCGCGACGGGGAGTTGACACCCGAAGGTCCAGTGCTCTCTAACCACTGAGTTTATCACGGCAATATATATATATATATATAATATATATATATAGATATATATATATATCTGTAATATATATTCATATATAATATATATATTACATATATAATATATAATTCACACACACATATATAATATATATATATATATATATATATATAAATATATATATAATATAATATATGTATATATATAATATATTATAATGTTCATATATAATATATATATATATAATATATATTATATATATATCTATATATGTGTGTGGTGGCTGTGTGTGTGTGTGTGTGTATACATATATCTATATATATATATATATAATATAATATAGATATATATATATATACTACATATACACACACCAGACACATACACAAGCACCACGTATAAAGTGTGTGTGTGTATGGTGTGTGTGTGTGGTGTGTTGTGTATGGTGGGTGTTGTGTGGTGTGTGTGTGTGTGTGTGTGTGTGTGTGTGTGTGTGTGTGCTACAAGAGACGTATATGCAGGATAATATATTTTTATTTTAGTTCACTCATGGGGGGCATCCACGTAGCAAAAACAGTTTATATCTTCAATTAGACATTATCTGCAGAAAAAAGTAAGAAACCCTCCCATCGTACTCCAACATTTCTATTCTGTACCATTATTAACATCTTTTGCTTTTGCCGAAAGTGAAGCTGAATATTACAAGCAGCAACGAGGCCAAATCCGAGAAGCGTTTCAGAGAATTCCACAGAAATGAGTTTTAATTTAGTAGGACTCACGACAGAAAAAATGAATGCTTGGTTAAAAACATTTAGAGATTTTTTATTTTTTTTATTTTTTTTTTTTAGCAGGGGAAAGTGTTAGTATGAGGGAAGGACGGGGGGGGGGCCCAAAGGGAAAAAAAAAAAAAAAAAAAAGCCAGAGGCAAACAGGGGAGACTAGGACGGTGAGGGGAAATTATGTGCTATATATTTTTATCATTGTTGTTATAAGAATAGTGATGATTATGGTAATTTCTGGTAGTATTATCATTACACTTAAGCCATTCTTGTCATTATAGTAGTAGTATGTTATCTGTTAGTATCATTTATTATTGATATATCACCATTTGTATCAGAGTTATCAACATCATTGTAATCATGAGTTGTAGTAGAGTATCGACATTAATACTGTATCGTCATCGGTCGTCGTCGACGTCGTAATCCTCATATATTATCATCATCATCATCATCATCATCATCATCATCATATTCTTATCATTATCATCATCATAATCGTCACAAATTATATTCCTTGGTAAAGGGGAAGCTCAATAACCGCAGTTATTGATCGTCCGCGAACAAGGACAGCTTTATCACTGGGTAAGTGAAATTGCGGGAGGGCGTCTATATTGCTTTTAATTAAGGACCTGAAGTTCATATTAATTAATGAATTAGAAATTCTGGCCATATAGATTAGAACAGAAGTATTACACTCGCGCGTACCTCTGTGATTAATCTTTCTGCTTTATTACTGCACTGCCTGTCCTTTATGTTCTAACCTTACTATATTTTGTTTTGAATTACAAATATATAGTATATCGTCGTCGCTCTATCTCGAGTTCTGAGTTCTCTTTCTTCTACTATCTCTCTCTCTCTCGTCTTCTTTTCTTCTCATATTATATCTCTCTCTCTTTCGCGTTTCGTCTTCTGTCTCTGCTCTTCTCTCTCTCTCTTTCTTTCTTTCTCTTCTCTCCTCTACTCACTCACTAACAATAAGGACAAATGATGAAAGGTAGCAAAGTGAATGCCGCGCCTGAAGGAGCATTAAATTCAATGGTGCTGGAAAAAAACTGAATGCTCATCGCAAAAGGCAATAATAACGTATTATAAACCGTCCACAATTTCTATCTGAGTTATTGTAATGAGAAGCAGACAGAACAGTATTTGTTGCTTCAAAGTCGCTACAGGGTAGTAGCATGAGTACAACATTCCACTTGCATGAACCCCTTTTACAGGGAGATTTATATTCCACAGGCAGTAGACGCAACAACTTTGTGAAAATAATGGTACTCTTGATCCATCGACAGTATAAGAAATATTTTACAGATGATATATATCAAATGTAAAAAATCGGGGTTCCCCAAGGCTTATTCGTCCACTCGAAATCCTGAAGCAAAGTAAACCATTAGTAAAGGCTTCTCAGAGATTGCATGTTATAATTAAAACAAGTGTCCAAAGCATCATTTACACGGGTTTGTTTAGTTTCGGGCGTTTGTCGTTGTAAGAAAAGAAATTATATAGACCGTACTTATATGCAGGCACTCTCGATAGGCATGTGCACGGGTTCGGTTCGTCGAGTTCGGGGTCGCCAACCTCTGGGCTCCGTGCCGGACCATCGGTTTCGGGTCGAATTTAGGTCTGGGCATCCGTTTCGGTTCGAATTGGGTCTGGGGAAACGGTTTCGGGTTGAATTGGGTATGGCATCGGTCTCGGGTTGAATTGGTCCTGGGCATCGGTTAGGGTTCGAATTGGGGTCTGGGACATCGGCTCTCGGGTTGGCCGAATTGGGTTCTGGACATGGTTCGTGTTCAAATTGGGGTCTCTGGGGCATCGGTTCGGTTCGAATTGGTCTGGCATCGGTTTTCGGGTTTCGGAATTGGGCTTGGGAATCCGTTCGGGTCGATAGGGTTGGGACGGTTCGGGTTAGAACTTGGGTCATGGCATCGGTTCGGGGTCGAATTAGGTCTGGGGCATCCGTTCGCGGTTTCGAATTGGGTTGAGCATCGGGTCGGGTTCGAATTGGGTCTGGGCATCCGTTTCGGGTTCGAATTGGTCGGGTTATCGGTTCGGGTTCGAATTGGGTATGGGCATTGGCTCGGGTTTAGAATGGGTTGGGCATAGGGTCGGGTTTCGAATTGGGTCTGGGCATCGGTTCGGGTTCGATTGGGGTCTGCGGCATTCCGGTCGGGTTCGAATTGGGTCTAGGGATCGGTTAGGGTTCGAATTGGTTCTGCGGCCATCGGTCGGGTTAGATTGGGTTGGCATCGGTCGGGTGCCGAATTGGGTCTGGGCATAGGTGTGGGTCGGAATTGAGTATGGGCATCGGTTCGGGTTCGATTGGGTATGGCCATCGGCCGGGTTCAATTGGGTCTGGGCATCCGTTTTCGGGTTAGAATTGCGGTCTGGGCATCGGATCGGGTTCGAAGTGGGTTCTGGGCATCGGTTCGGGGTTCGAATTGGAGGGTCTGGGCATCGGTCGCGGTTTCGATTGGGTCTGGCGGCATCGGCTCGGGTTGAATTGGGTCTGGACATCGGTTTAGGGTTCGGAATGGGGTCTGGGCAATAGGGTTTGGGTTCGAATTGGGTTGTATGGGCATCGGTTCGGGTTCGAATGGGCTCTGGGCATCGGTTTAAGGTTTCGAATTGGTCTGGGCATCAGGTTTTCGGGTTCGAATTGGTTCGTTGGGCATCGGTTCGGGTTCGCATTGGGTCTGGGCATCGGGTTGGGTTCGAAATTGGGTCGGGCATCGGTTCGGGTTCGAATTGGGTCTGGGCATCGGCTCGGGGTCGAATATGCGTCTGAGCATCGGTTCGGGTTTTCCAAATGGGTTCGGGGAATCGGTCCGAGTCGAATTGCGGTCTGAGCATCGCGTTCGGTTTCGAATTGGGTATGGGGCATCGGTTCGGGTTTCGAATTGGGTCTGGGCTCGGTTCGGGTTCGAATTGGGTCTGGCATAGGTTCGGGTTCGAATTGGGTTTCTGGTATCGGCTTCGAGTTCGATTGGGTATGGGCATCGGTTCGGGTTCGTATTGGATCTGGGCATCGGTTTCGGGTTCGAATTGGATCTGGGCATCGGTTTGGCGTTCGAATTGAGTTTGGGCATCGGGTAGGGTTTCGAATTGGGTCTGGGCATCGGCTCGGGTTCGAGTGGGTCTGGGCCATTCGGCTCGCGGTTCGAAATCTGGGTTGGGATCGTTTCTGGGTGCGAATGGGGTCTGGGCATCGGTTCGGGTTTTCGAATTGGGTCCTGGCGCATCGGCTCGGTTTCGAATTGGTCTGAGCATCGGTTCGGGTTCAAATTGGGTCTGGGCATAAGGTTCGGGTTCGAATTGGGTCGAGCATCGGTTCGGGTTCGAATTGGGCTGGGCCATCGGTTCGGTCGAATTGGGTCTGGGCTCGGTTCGGGTTGTTAGAATTGGGTCTGGGCAATCGGGTCGGGGTCGAATTGGGTCCTGGGCATCGGTTTCGGGTTACGATGGGTCTGTAATCGCGTTCGAGTTCGAATTGGGTCTTGGCATCGGTTAGGGTTCGAATTGGCTGGGCATCGGCTCCGGGTTCGAATTGGTCTGGGCATCGGTTTGGGTTCGAATTGAGTTTGGGCATCGGTTCGGGTTCGAATTGGGTTCTGGGATCGGCTCGGGTTTTCGAATTGGGTCTGGGCATCGGCTCGGGTCGCAATTGGGTTTGGGCACATCGGTTCGGGTTCGAAGTTGGGTATGGGCATCGGTGGGTTGAATTGGGTCGGGCATCGGATCGGGTTCGATTGGTCTCTGAGCATCGGTTCGGGTTCAAATTGGGTCTGGGCATCGGTTCGGGTTCGAATTGGTCGAGCATCGGTTAGGGTTCGACTTGGGTCTGGGCATACGGTTTCGGGTTCGAATTGGGCTGGGCATCGGTTCGGGTCGAATTGGGTCTGGGCATCGTTCGGGTTCGGATTGGGTCTGACGTCATCGGTTCGAGTTCGAATTGTGTCTGGGAACGCGTTCGGGTTCGATTGGATATGGGCATCGTTCGGGTTAGAAAATTTTTTGGGGGGGATCTGGGCCATCGGTTTGGGTTCGGCAATTGAGTTTGGGACATCGGCTTCGGTTTCGGGTTCGAATGGGTCTGGGCAATCGAGCTCGGGTTAAAGTGGGTCTGGGCATCGGCTCGGGTTCGAATGGTCTGGGCATCGGTTCGGGTTCGAATTGGGTCTGGGCATCGTTCGGGGTCATGCAGGGAGAGCAGAGGGGTAAGTAGAAGAGTGTATATGTTAAAAAAAGCGAGGAAAAGATAAACGAATTGTAAAGAAATAGGGAAAATGGAAAACACAGGCAGAGGCCGACTTTAGGAATATGCGAAAAGTAAGAAGAAACAAGGGAAAAAATTAGTGACAGAGAAAGGAAAGTAGAACAACAGAGAGGGGGAGGAAGAGAAAGAGAATACGAATAAGAAAGAACGAGACAAAGTAAACAGAAAACGTCGAAGCCTGGATGGAGTTGCAAATTGCAGGGAGGAATAGGTGGGGAGGGCGGAGGAGTCAGAAGGGAAAATGGAAAAGGTTGAAAGGAGGAAAATACATAGGATGCATGGACTATAAATGATGTTTTCGTGAAGATGGCGATATATCATCCCTTCTCTCTCTCTTCGATCTCTCCTCTTCTTCTCTCCTCTCTCCCTCTCTCAGCAGTAACAGCAGTTGAGTGATAGAAGTGTTGTAACAGTTGTAAATCAGTTTGAAAAACGCAAACTGGCTGACCACATTCTGTGTTTCGTTACTTCAAAAGGGTCGAGCAATGGCGGTGATCAAATCAGAAATTATACCAGGCTAGCCCCTCAAACATTGTTTGACCAACTCAAAAAAAATAAAAAAATAAAATAAATAAGGACACGACCAAGGGACACCCAAACAGATGACAAAACAGTACTGGTACACTATGATTGATAAGGTGACGATATTCAAAATTAGTCTCGCAAAAAAATGCACAGACCTCCCCTAACGGATGGGGAACACATATAGAAAGCAGGATTTTCTACTCGTTGAAATGAGAGTCTAATAGTAGATGATATAATATATATATTTATAATGGGATAGGAGTAGATATAATAAATATATATATATATATATAGATAGATTTTTTTTTTTTTTTTTTTTTTTCTTTCTTTTTTTGTTTAAGAGTACAGACCAAAGAAGAAATAAACAGAGCTGTCACTAGACCCTCTTCACGGATCAAAAAAACTAATTGAAAACACAAATCGACTTGCTGGCGGAAGGTGCTTCCGAACTGCAATCGTCTATTACAAATAAAGAGGCAAATAAAAGCACGGTCCCCGTCCCCCACCCGTGATCAAACCACCACGACATTTCACGATCTCCCCAGTATACGCCCTCTCACCTCACACACAAAACCGCTCCTCCCACCAACCCCCGCCCATACCACGACTGAACAAATCCTCCCTCCGAAAACCCTCCCTCTCTCCCTGACCGCGGCCAGCATTCTGACTCGCCCCTCCTTGAGGACAGCGCGGGCCTCTTCAACTATGATGAGCTATCCACTTGCCCCTCGCCCGGGCCCGCTCCTAGCCAGCAGACCCCCGACTCCCCCGCCTCTCTCCAAGTCCAACTAAGAGCCCTCCGCCGTGAGACCCACAAACCAAACACGCCAAAGAGACCAAAAGTTGAAGCTTATACATAAGTAAACCTAACATAAATGGGCTTAGAGAAAAGAAAAAAATAATAGATAAAAAAAATAACGAGCAAATCGACAAACTCGACCCCAACCGCCCGATAGAGGAAAAAGCTCAACAGCAGGTGCAAGGAGCTACCACCCTACCCCCACAATTTTCTCAGCCTGCCACTAAAGTCTATATCAAGAAAACAGAGAAAAAAAGACCACAAAAGTAACACCAAAGCCGTTAAAGGGAGCAGATCGGCCAGACACAGGCTACTTTTACAGCACCGGTTGTCACCCAACCGTTCGCCGTAGAAACATGGTTTTTACTAGACTATTTTTTTAATATGGGATATAGGACGATGTCAATACCTTTACGTTTACTTCCTGTAATTCTTCCAAAATCTTGAATAAAAGGTGCAAATTCAACTGAGTTTGCAGGAGGCAATAACTATCTAAAATACAACATGGTTTTACAAATAGGTTATCTACGACAACGTTTACTACCAAATACACTGATGAGCTTGATAATAACTTAGACAAGAGTAGGTAAATTGGCTCCATTAGCGACGTTTCTAAGGCTTTCGTAGTGTTAACCAAGGGAATTATCCTAACAAATTAGTAAATACATTAAACTAATACCTTTTGGCTTAAATAGTTATGATACAAGCGACCTCATCGGTAAGAATCAATAATGCGTTTTGTCACCAAAACAATAGTCACCCTTGTGGGTTCCCCAAGGAGTATTAGGTGCGGTCCTATTTACAGTTTTCATTAAATGATTTATCAACAATAGACAAACTGCCTTCAAAGGCAGTACGCGATGATTCACAAGGTCTTCATAATGACCGGTAAACAGCATAAATAGGGACAAACACAAGCAGAATTATATTTTGACACTAATTGCAGCTAAAATCTACACAAACAAAACACTCAATCTAGATTCATAGGTCGTTGGCGAACATAGCTAAACTCCAGTTTGACACAAAAATAATAGAATCTCATTTTTTTTGTGAATAATCTAGGAAGTACTTTTAGACAGATTCAGATCGAC